AACAAAAGACAGCTGACAGAATGGGAGAAGATATTTGCAAATGACATAGCAGATAAAGGGCTAGTGTCCAAAATCTATAAAGAACTTAGCAAACTCAACACCCAAAGAACAAATAATCCAATCAAGAAATGGGCAGAGGACATGAACAGACATTTCTGCAAAGAAGACATCCAGATGGCCAACAGACACATGAAAAAGTGCTCCATATCACTCGGCATCAGGGAAATACAAATCAACACCACAATGAGATACCACCTCACACCAGTCAGAATGGCTAAAATTAACAAGTCAGGAAATGACAGATGCTGGTGAGGATGCGGAGAAAGGGGAACCCTCCTACACTGTTGGTGGGAATGCAAGCTTGTGCAACCACTCTGGAAAATAGCATGGAGTTTCCTCAAAATGTTGAAAATAGAACTACCCTATGACCCGGCAATTGTACCACTGGGTATTTACCCTAAAGATACAAATGTAGTGATCCAAAGGGGCATGTGCACCCAAATGTTTATAGCAGCAATGTCCACAATAGCCAAGTTATGGAAAGAACCTAGATGTCCATCAACAGATGAATGGATAAAGAAGATGTGGTATATATACATGGTGGAATACTATGCAGCCATCAAAAGAAATGAAATCTTGCCATTTGCGACGACATGGATGGAACTAGAGGGTATCATGCTTAGTGAAATAAGTCACTCAGAGAAAGACAACTATCATATGATGTCCCTGATATGAGGAAATGGAGATGCAACATGGGGGGCTTGGGGGTTAGGAAAAGAATAAATGAAACAAGATGGGATCAGGAGGGAGACAAATCATCAGTGACTCTTAATCTCACAAAACAAACTAAGGGTTGCTGCGGGGAGGGGCAGAAGGAGAGGGTGGTGGGGTTATGGACATTGGGGAGGGTATGTGCTATGGTGAGTGCTGTGAAGTGTATAAACCTGGCGATTCACAGACCTGTACCCCTGGGGATAAAAATACGTTATATGTTTATAAAAAATAAAAAAAAACACAAAAAAAATCTATAGTATTGGAACACTATGGTATTGAATCCAGCATCTTTAAAAATTATAATTCAGCATAATAATTTGAGAAGTCCTTTGGGAGTAACAAATACAGCAAACCTTCAGTTTTTGTCTTTCAGCACTTTGAATAGATCATCCCACTCTCTTCCAGTCTGTAATGTTTCCTTGGGAAGCTGTATAAAACCTGAACTCACTGTGCTTAAGTTTGAGGTGAACATATGTACTTTTGTACACTATTTATGTTAGTTTTGTGTGTGTGTGTGTGTGTGTGTGTGTGTGTGTGTGTTTTGAGAGAGAGAGAGAGAGTGAGAGAGAGAGAGAGAGCATGAGCTGGAGGGGGAGGGGAAGAGGGAGGGAGAAAGAATCTTAGTTCTCAAGAACTGAGCCAGGCTCAATCCCACAACCTGAGCCAAAATTGAGACTAGGATGCTCAAGAGACTGAGCCACTCAGGCGCCTCTACTTTGTTTTTATATGTATTTCTTGTACACTATTAACTTTGGCTAGACTGCTTACATTTGTTATCCCTTTTAATATTCACAATAAACTTACAAGGGAAATAATATTATTATACCTCCTTTTTACAGAGTGTGAATGTGAGCCTTAGCTTGTTTAACTTTCCCAAACTTGAATAAATAGAGAGTAGAGAAACTGATCTATGCTTCCAGAGGTTAAGCTCTTCACCAGTGGACTCTGATGCCTTCTGGAACAATACTAGATGCTTGCATTGGAATGATTTAAAATTACTTTTTAAAAAGATTTCATTTATTTATTTGAGAGATAGAGAGAAAAAAACATAAGCAGGGGGAAGGGCAGAGGGAGAAGCAGATTCCATGCTGAGCAGGGAGCCCAAGGCTCCATCCCAGGACCCTGAAATCATGACCTGAGTAGAAGGCAGATACTTAACCGACTGAGCCACCCAGGCAGCCCTGGAATGATTTAAAAGATAACTGTAAAGCTTATGAATTTTAGATCATAGAAATGTTAACATCAGGAGAAAGTAAAAAAAAGAAAAGAAAAGAAAATGAAAGACAAAAAAACAACATGTGGACTTGTCTCTGTCTTTCTTCAACACTCTTCCTTTTTGTAGTTGGTGTCTGGGTTCTCCCCACTTTCCAGATGCAGACAGAACACCATGTGGGTCTCAGCTTGAGAGATTTCCGTGTCCCTGAAAGAACGGGATGTTGGGAACAAAAGTCCTTTTCATGACCCATAAAGAAGCCCTGTGCATGTACTTATTTGATAGCAGATTGAGAATATAATTCAGTTGTCAAAAAAACCAATAATAGGCCTTCAGTTCAGATGCTTGGAATTTTATTTATTGTGAGCCTTGATCTCCAAGTTCACTTTAAAATTACAAGTCACACTCTTGTCACAACTGACATTTTTAGAAAATACAATAAAAACGCTTAGCTGGAACTTTTATTCCAACTGAGTACTGAAATGAATATATCTATTATATACATAAATAATCATATACATGTGCATACACACACATACAAATGTATATATATTTATATACATATATACATATGCAAATAATTATATATACATATGCATATATATGTATACGTGTGTGTGTATACATACACACAAGGGCGAAAAATATATGACTATATATATATATTTCTCTCTTCTGAGAAATCTTCCCTTGTTCTCTTATAAGCATATACTTTTAAGGCTTGGCCTCACTAAAGTAACTAAAACATTAATTTATGGAAGAATCAACAAAGATGGATTTGTGGGTTTACTTGATGCCAAGAAAGCTGGTTTTCTTTAGGTCCTTGTCTCCTCCTGGGGATGTTTATTTCTGGGCAAGTCACTTGGGTATCTCTGCTGCTGATTTCTTCCAGCCAAACCTGGAGAAAAAAGGAAAGAAATATCTTTTGATTTCACATATATATGATTTAGGCTATTCTGCTTATTAGAAGGACACCTGAAAAAAAAATCACCTAGCAGAAACAGGTTCCTACAATTTAGCATTTATTGGAAGTGTTGTGGGCCATATCAGCCTCCCAGGCCATCTCAACAGGCCTCAGGCAGACACCCTCATCAAACAGCACTTTTTGCCTGATATGCTTCCTGGAGATTCAGTGTTTGGGGAGTCTGGAGAATTGTAGATTTTAGGTGGTTGACACTGTGAGAGTGCCCCAGGAGCTCTCTAAATCAGTAGGAAAATGAAGGCAGCTGAGAGTGGGATGCCACACATACTCACTTAAGGCCGGCCCCTCTTCCTGTTTCCTGAGAAGTGCTGGCTGGGGGTCTGCTCAGATGAAGTTCTCTGTGGCTTTAGGGGTCTGGACGCTCCTTGCTGCCTTGGCTTGGCCTTGCGCTGAGAGTATCTGTGGTAAATGGCCAGCTTTGGAGAACACTTCCTTGGAGGGGTTATGGTCACTTTCCCTTCAGGGACGCTTCTCTCAAAGAGATCGGACCTTACAATTAGATACAAGAGAAATACTTTCTGCAAAGAAGACTGGAGTCTATATACTGAGGCCATCTGCAGTGGAGGGGGCAGAGCAGAGCACTGGGACCATCTGTAGAGGGGGTCTCAAGGCATTGGGACCATCTGGGGTTAGGGGGAGCAGGGCATCAGGGCCATCTGGGGTCAGGGTAGGAGGGCATTGATACCTGGCTGTGATCCGTGATTCTGGGGTTCAAGGAAGATTCTGTTTCACCCAGTTTGTGTAGCAGCTACCCGTGCTCTTCAGGCTTTCCCTCAAATAATTTCTCAGTCACTTGAGACATGACCTCATGATGTCAGACTGAAATGACCCTAATATAGTATGAAAAAAAAAAAATGAAGCCGGAGGCCCAGCCTTCCTGTATGTCCATGTCTACTTACCTTTCAAATCCATCTTTAATCAACTGTTGGAACTCTTTTCTTCCTTTGGGAAGGATCTTCCTGATAATCTTATCTAGGTGACGCTAGGATAATATTTCAAACACATGGAGCCATTTGGAGCTTACTATCACTGATGTAGATCATCTGCCTTCTCCAATGCTACTTTTTCCCTCAAAACATCTCCCTGAATTTTCTTACTTTCTTGATGATTTATCTGTAAAGACCAAGAACTTACAGGCTTAAATAATGTTGGAATCTCTTGCTTGTGACATAGGAATGTTTTTTCATGCTGGGAAGATTTAGATCCTAAAAGCATTTAAGAATATCCTGGATGTGTTCCAAGGTCTCCTATTACTCTTTTAGGAGCTTTCCTAGTCAAGGTTTGAACCTCTAGCTACTCTTTTCTTTGTGAATTCTGGCTTTTTATTATTAATTTGTAATGGACATGTAAGTGAGCACCAATCCTATAGGAAAGAAGATATTAGACAATTAGTCCCTCTGACACATGAATGGCTTGCTCAGTGTCATGTTAGAAACTGTGGTTAATGTCCATCTGGCATACTTGGTCAGAATCCAGCACAATTTTACTTCCACAGGATACATTAATCCATTAGAAATAGTGATTATTCTTAAAGGACTGATTTTCTCTCTTCAGTGGACTTTCTTCAGAGTCTTTCCTCTATGGCTCTGATTGTCTCTGGTTCTGGTTTCTCCAGATATGGATCATACTCTCCCACTCTTTTTCTTCTTCCTCTCCAAAAAGCATTCCTGGGAATATGTCTCTTCTATTCAAATGCATTGCATTTTACTTCTGTCCCTATGTTTAGCCCTAGGTAGACCACCCTCTTTGGAATCTAATTTTTTTAAGAGGAGGCAGGGGGCTAGAAGATTGTCATTTTCTTATTCTTATGTGTCGATTTTCTTCCCTGTGAAATAACTGAAGTCTAGTTAGTTGAGGATATAATGATGCAGATATTTTGGAAACTAATGGTGATGTGAAAACTTTTATATGTTGTTCTTTAAGCCTTGATTATGTCAGAGAAAGAAATACCTTTTAGTTAATCACAGAGGGCATAGCTGAATATTCTTTGAATTCTTCCCTGAGATAAATACGTATCTGACATTTTCTCTTATGATTCTTTCTGCAGTGAAAGTAAGTTGTTCTATGGACTGGTTGATGATCTCGGTTAGCCCATGTGGGTATAGCAGCAATCTGTATATATTTGCTGATGAATTATATCTGGGATCAGGTTGCCCTGTGACTCGGATACAAACATATGCATATGATTTTATATACCCTGTATATGACTGTGGGATCAGGATAAAGGTGAGACTCGTGATTATTTATAAAAATAACTTCTAAATAGTTTTTTAGATCTTTATACCTCGCACTAAAATTATTGTCTTTCTTGTTTTGTTTTAAAGAGCAAATTTTGCTTCTAATTATCGTAATTTATGGGTGACAAAACCACAGTTCCTTACTTATCATTCACTGGACACTGGGACATCTGTGTGCATAGGACCTGACGACGCACAATTCCAGACTGGTCAGGAAACCAATTTTAAGTTGTCCCTAGGCTATGCTTGTATTTTACTAAAGCTTAGCAGACAATTTTAAATTCCTTTTGATGCTCCTAATGGGAAAGGTCACGGTTCCTGGAAAGGTATATCCTATTCATTGGATCATTTGAGTTGCCTGTGCTTTGAGGATGTGTGTAGATTTTCACTGGGATAAAGTCTCTCACGTATTCTTCTAGGCATAAATCTTCAACTGTATTATTATCCTGGAATATTATCTTTTCATAGATTCCCTTATTTGAACAGGTTATATTCATACTACAGAGATATTTTGTCCAGTGACTAACTGACTAATAGTCACCTACAAATAAGGTGTTGGCTCTATTAGAAATGAGAGAATGGAATGAAGCTTTAGAAGGCGCTTTTACCATGTTTCCAGGGTGCAAAGCTGGTTAATGGTAGTATAGACACCAAACCAGGATGATTACCCTTCAAAGCTTATACTTTAAACCACTCTGTTATTTGACCTCCAAATCCTCCTTTTTGAGAGAACTGTTGGAAATCTTTCCATTAATGAGTCATAAAGATGGCTCTCATTGGCAGTTTAGGTTTGCTCCTATGTATTATTAAGATTCCCCACCCCCACCGCCGCCCAGGTACTTTAAATACGCTCTTACAGATAATACTCCTCTTCTGTCCCAGTGGGTTGTCGGACCATCATGACAGTAGCCAACTTTGAGATTGTAAATGTTTTCTACCTCTTATTCAAATGTGTGTATGCCTCCCCTGTTACTAGAAGTACCTTCTATTTAACCTTTGTGCTCCCCTAGGTTGTTTCGGAGGATACTCTCCTTTTCCAAACTGAGATGTACTTTAACCCTCGGAATCTACATTGTGACCCTCAGAAGATCCCTTTGGAGTGTTCTGCCTCTAGGTGAGTCCAATAGACCAGCCTCCTTTGAGATGTATCTGCTTTCCCTTTACTTAAGATACTTCTGCAGAAGCATGAACTTTAGACTTGATTCACCCATAACCATACGTCCAAATGTGAAAATAGCCTCCCTAAAAATACTTAATACTTTTATTTTTTATATACATTCTAGTATAATGAGGTTATTTTGCAACAGCTGAACCACAAAGAAGACTCATTACTCAGTTGCCTTAATAAATGGAAGAATCAGGGGCTGCCTGGGTGGCTCAGTGGGTTAAGCCTCTGCCTTCAGCTCGGGTCATGATCTCAGGGTCCTGGGATCGAGTCCCACATCAGGCTCTCTGCTAGGTGGGGAGCCTGCTTCTTCCTCTCTCTCTCTCTCTCTCTCTCCACTTGTGATCTCTCTCTGTCAAATAAAATATTTAAAAAAAAAAAAAAAATAAATGGAAGAATCAAGCCTGATACTATTTTTCAGTGTCTCCTCCGTCCTAATACTTTAATACATCTCATGGTTTAATTCCATGTTAATAGAAGAGAACATAAGTTCTTCATTTTAATACTAACTCATGGAATACATGAAAGGAAAGGTTTATCAACCTAATCATTAAAAGCATTTTGCTTGTAGTTCTGTGGAACTGAGACATTGAATACCAAAGGGACCCCACATGAACTTTGAGACCAAGTAAAATGGTGTGTGGTGAAACACTTTAGTATTTACATTGAATGTCACAAGTTACAAATCTTGTCACTGTAATATTTACATTGAGTGTTATTAGTTATAAATCTTGGAAAAAATTTTATCCTTGTTTAATATGTGAAAATAGTTGACGTAAAAAAGAAGGTAGAACTCAGAGCAAATGTGCAGTATTTTTTGCAGGGGAGAATTTTTTTAAGTAGGCTCCATGCCCAATGTGGAGCCCAGTGCAGGGCTTGAACTCACAACCCTGAGATCAAGACCCAAGCTAAAATCAAGAGTCGGACGCTCAAAAGACTGAGCCACCCAGGCACCCCTGGTATTTTATTTTTTTATTGTGGTAAAATATATGTAAGCTGAAATTTATCATTTTAACCATTTTCAAATGTACAGCTCAGTGACATTATATACACTCATATTGTTACATCCTCTTGATACTCTTTTAACTTATTTCCATAAGGCACGTGTAAGGCTGAGGAACTTAGTGACACTCTGGGAAGTAGTGTCTGACACTAACATTTGATTCTGTAGAGAAATACACATGCACACACGTGTTTTCCTTCCCATATATTAGCCAATGCTTAGAGTAATATGAAATGTTGTGAAATAATGCTCTGGAGCTATTGCTTCTCCATAGGCTACCTGATCAGTAATGATAACACCGGCATTTCTGCTTCAACAGTGATTTTTGTGGTGTTTGCAGCTCATCTTCCTTTGGAAAAAATGAAAACTAGGCCAAAAAAGATATACAGTTAGCTTACTGGTGTTATGGCATACTTTTTTACTGCTATACACACACACACACACACACACACACACACACACACACACACACACACAC